CGACGTACATAAGTGCATTCAACCATAGGGTACAAACTCAGGAGACAGGAAACAAGAAAGTGCAATTTCCTCAAATAAGCCAATTTACAATTTGCTATAGATGAGTGACGTTACAAGTACAATTTAAGTGCTACAATTTGTTAGTCTTTAGTCGAGGTAGAGTCTGAAGAGGTGTGTCTTTAGTTTGCGGCGGAAGATGTGAAGGCTCTCTGCGGTCCTGGTGTCTTCAGAGAGCTCGTTCCACCATTTCGGCGCAAGGACAGCAAAGTGTCGAGATCTAGTCGAGTGTTTTGCTCTCAGTGAGGGAGGGACGAGTAGTTTTGCAGATGCAGAGCGGAGACTGCGGGTTGGGATGTAGGGTTTGACCATGTCCTGGATGTAAGCTGGACCCGATCCATTCACAGCATGGTACGTGAGCACCAATGTTTTGAACTGGATGCGGGCGGCCACCGGTAGCCAGTGAAGAGAGCGGAGGAGTGGAGTAGTGTGGGAGAATTTCGGAAGGTTGAAGACCAGTCGAGTTGCTGCAATCTGAATGAGCTGCAGAGGTCGAATGGCGGTGGCAGGGAGACCAGCCAGGAGGGAGTTGCAGTAGTCCAGGCGGGAGATGACAAGAGCCTGAATCAGTACCTGCGCTGCCTTCTGTGTGAGAAGGGGACGTATTCTCCTGATGTTGTAGAGCGTGTATCTACAGGATCGCGTTGTCGCGGTGATGTTGGGAGTCAGGGAGAGTTGGCTGTCGAGTGTGATGCCAAGGTTCTTAGCGGTCAAAGTGGGCGTTAGTACGGAGTTTCCAAAGTTGACTGTCAGGTCCTGGGTAAGCAAATCTTTTCCGGGAAAGAGAAGTAGTTCAGTCTTGTCGGGGTTGATTTTCAGATGGTGGGCGGACATCCACTGAGAGATGTCAGTTAGACAGGCAGAGATCCGAGCCGCCACCTGGGTGTCCGAGTGAGGGAAGGAGAGAATTAGTTGGGTGTCATCGGCATAGCTGTGGTAAGAGAAGCCATGCGAGCGAATGACAGCGCCAAGAGAGTTGGTGTAAAGCGAAAACAGGAGGGGACCCAGCACGGAACCCTGAGGAACTCCAGTAGTAAGAGGACAAGGTTCCGGCACAGATCCTCGCCAGGTTACCCCGGTAGGTGCGGCCGTCGAGGTAGGACGAGAGAAGAGAGAGAGCAGAGCCTGTGACACCAAGTTCCTGAAGGGAGGAAATAAGGATCTGGTGGTTGACCGTGTCAAATGCAGCAGAGAGGTCCAGAAGGATGATGACAGAGGAGAGAGAGGCGGCTCAAGCAGTGTGGAGTTGCTCTGAGACAGCAAGGAGAGCAGTCTCTGTGGAGTGGCCTGCCTTGAATCCTGACTGGTGGGGGTCAAAGAGGTTGTTACCAGTTGAAGATTAGAAGGAGAATTGATTAAACATCGCCCGTCCAAGGGTTTTGACAAAAAAGAGAAGAAGAGAGACCGGTCTGTAGTTGTTTTCTTCAGAAGGGGTGAGGGGTAGGTTTCTTCAGGAGGGGGTTGACTCTTGCCTCCTTCTGAGAATTGGGAAAACAGCCAGATAACTGAGCGTTGTTGATGAGACAGGTGAGGAACGGAAGAAGGTCAGGTGCGATAGATTGTAGAAGATGTGATGGAATGGGGTCAAGAGGGCAGGTGGTCGGACGTGCAGAGGTTACTAGGGTAAGAATTTGGTTAGGAGAGAGGGCGGTGAAAGAGGAAAGTGAGGGCGAAAGAGGTGAGGTCGGTGCGACGCGAGAAGTAGGAGGTGGGTTTGAGAAGGAGGAGCGTATGTCAGCTATTTTCTTGGTGAAGTAGTTGACAAAGTCTCCCGGAAGAAGGGTGGAGGGGGAGGAGGGGTAGGGGGTTCGAGGAGATTGGAGAAGATCGAGAAGAGTTTTTTGGGGTTTAAAAATGAAGATTCGATTTTGGATTGGTAGAAAGAGCTTTTGGCAGCAGAGATAGAAGCAGAAAACGAGGAGAGGAGAGATTGAAATTTAAGCAGGTCGTCAGGTCGTTTATATTTACGCCATCTCCTTTACTGCGTATATCCAGAGGCACAGCAGGCTATTAAGAGAAAAATACACAACGTATGTCCTATTTTCATCGTTTGGGCAATCATTTCTATTGGTTGAGACAACATACTCACCAAAGTAAACTGCTGAGACCTGGGAACCTTTTGCATCACCAGGAATAAATACACCTGGGCATGAAACAATAACTTAGACAATCAGACAAGTTGTGAACAAGATGTGATTAAACTAAAACTATCTATTTTGCTTTTGATAGTCATTTGGAAAATGTTTCTAAATTTACTATAATAATGTTCAATGAAATTGATTCTCATTCAAATATGAGTCAAGATGAACCTAATCACTCTCGGCACATTTGGCTAATTCATGACATTAACTGCAACGTGTAATCAATCCCCACATACCTGTTGTAATCCCCGTTTTAACCTTTTCCGCAGGATAATTATATCCCCTGAAGGCAGAAGAAAGCTGAGAGACGTCAAGGAAAACCATTTTGGTAAATTAACATTTGCTTCCTCATAGAATAAGAGGAACATCGTTGTATGGACATCACCCTAATAACACAGAAACAACTACACAATAATCCAATTGTTGGAAATGACAATTGTGGTTGTCTTCGCATACACATGAACAGTTCTTCCACCAGAAACACTGTTGTGTGTCTGTGTCTTTGTCCAAGAGATGGATATTATCCGCTTCACTGACCGCTGTTCTTCACGGTCCATCGGACAATCAAGTTTTCCAACCTCCAATCTGTGGTGAACATTACCCTGCCAATGACAGCCCTCACGTGACTCTTGATACCAGCCGAGGTGAGTGCCAAGGCCTAATTGTAATTACGGGAAACCTCTTGTAATAGGCCCTGCTTCGATACTATGTTGTCTCCGAAATGCGCAACCCTAAGCATTAGATTTTTTTGGGGAGCATCGGTGATAGATGTTTAGGAGTTAAGCCATTGTTTCCTGCATGAAATGTGTCCCTAAATATTTGTTTTCACTTTAAGTGATGACTGTCGCTGAACAAGGGGAAAACCAGGAAAGGATCCCTCTGCAGTGGTTGCATCTAATATAATATGCTGAGCACAGAGATTATGATCTTATGATCATGAAGCAGATGCAGCGAGGACTGCATTATTCAAGGAGTGTGGAGAATAATGAATGGCTGATGCAAAATAGAAGATGAGACCCTATGGGAGAGGGCAAAAGAAGAGGAGGTTGAAGGATGAGGAGAAAGGATAATAGAGTCTGATGGGGGGAGGACAATACCAGAAGGTGAACGGTGGAAAAAACACAGGGAAGGCAAAGAGAACAGTGTCCCCTAGAAGAAAGAAATATAGACACAATTTGCAGAAAGTTTGCCCTGAAATATCATATTCTTCTGCATTTACGGATGAGAAGCCAGGAGAGCAAAAAAACGGTGGGTTTTTGACCTGCAGCTATTGCGTCTTTCACATGTTGGGCAAATAAAAGCCACTAACAAGATGATGAGGTGCCTATGAGGTAGAAGTGGAGAAGGAAAGAGGGAGAGGAAGGGCTGGATAAGACGACGGGATCAAAGTAAGATTCATACCGGATAGCTCTCTCGAAACCCTCCTTCCCATTGGGTCGCCCTATTAGCTTTGGCGTCTTATGAATCCTCATAGGGAGTTTTATTATTTTTTTATGATTTCCACCGTCTGCCATAGTCACACCCTGACGCAATATTCTGCAGTCTCAAATGGTAGGCTTTCTAAAGGGAAAGTGGGCGCGTGAAACTCCCAAAGAAGTTCTACTCTATTTGTTGCTTAGTGTTACCGTTAAATGAAATCCCTAATATTTACCCTGAAATGTCTGAAAGCCAGCTCACATGATTGAGCTTATGGTGCCCGACACGCAAGCACAAACACACTTAACCACCCTCTAGTTGTGATGGAGTAGTAGGCCTCCATACTTTAGAAGAGAGTAAGTCCCTTAATTGACGGACGCTGGCGCCTTATAACTTAACAGTATAGTCTTCTTTGGTTACTCACACACATGCTGCTTGCATTGACTTACTTGGGTCATTAGAGACATTGACTTGTCTCTAATGACGTGAGCTCAACAAGTCTGTGTAGTATTTATTGTCTGCGTGGGTATTTAGGCTGTGATCAGGTCTACTGTTTGTTGTTCTGAAGCACAGTGGAGTTTTTTTCATCATGTTAGTACCATTCTTATTTAACTTCAAACGTGAACCACTACTATGACCCTGACCGAATAATAAATAAATATACCAAAATATACATTCTTTGTCCCCAGAGGAAAAATCCTACAGATTTTTGTAATCTCCGGACATTTTCCATTGCCCCACCATGAGGTTGAGATCTTTTTTTTTTGAGTACAACGTCTTGACAACCAATGGATTGACCTCCATGATACTTGGTAGGCCTACAAATATACTCTGAAGTTCCCCCAAGGATGAAATTTGACATATTTGGTCTTTTTTATCTGGCATCTTTATAAGGTCAAACTTCCAATGCTTTGGTTTATGATGGCATACTTGTATATCTAATGACATTCTTTTCTGCTTAAGATATGTAAGCATGGTAACATGCTAAACACGATGGAGAAGAAAACAGTACACCTTCTTAGCAATTGCATTATGTCATTGTGTGTGTCTGTGTTATTATCTAGCTCAAACCACAGCTGGGCCCAATAACCGCCTCAGAGCCCCAGAGCCCCTAGATAGAGACATTTTGGAAACAAGAGAAATGAAAATAAACTATTCCAGTTCCATCAATGTAATGTGCATTCTGCTCTGTATATTGTTGTATTCCTCCTGTCTTTTTGGGTACCTCCTTGTCTGCCTAAACAAATCAACCTTATTTTAATAAAACCCAATGGCCTGCACGCTTAACCTTTTTTGCCTCATTGGAAGTCATGTGAAGCCATCAGACATGGAGTTGGAAGAGGACCTCCAACATCTGTTTTGTCAAGAGTGATAGCCCGTTTGGCTTTCCTACAGATTGTTTGTTTTCTCCTCCTACTCCTCCTCCTCATCCTCAAAAACCATTCTACCAGCTCTTGTCTTGCTGGGCTGCATCGGTCTGTGCCTGACTGTTTGTCCAAGTAACCGGGAGGGGAGGAGCTGGTGCGCAAACTAAATGTTTCATGTTTAAAACAAGTCATATAAATGATGTGAAACTGCATGTAGCCATGTGTGTGTCCACATTGTTGCTTTTTCGTAAAGTCATTTTAATGGGGCCATGCTGGATCTGTTCATTGGCCCCCTTTGGACCTGTGGATGAAGAAGAAACAATAATTTTAAGTACAGCCAGCTCGGGAAAATTGCTGCATATATTTGTACATCTTATCTAAAGATGAATAGACATGAACCTGATTCCACTAGCAAAAAACTGCATATTAATCCCTACCCTGCTTTTACAAGTTGATCTCATTTAATGTCCAGGACTCCAGTGGTTTAGAATCAGGCTTTGGGCTCGGCCCAGTTTAACATGGGTTCACTTGAAAGGAATTGGCCTCTTTCTTCAGGTTGGATCAAGAACCAAGCTCCATTGACACAGAAAATAATTGAAATATATAAGTGTGAACGTGCTCATCTGCAGAGGCCTTTATATGTTATATAGCTAAATAGGGGTATGTTGTTGCACATTTTATAGTCCTGTGCCTAGTTAAAGAATGCTTTTAGATTCATAATCTGGACTCACTCTTTTCCACTTTCCCTAATGACACAGGGGTGTTATTGGTTTCTTGATTTAACTTTAAACCTGTACAAAAGTTTGTTGTTGCTCAGGAGATTTCATCATCGGAATAATCAGTGCAACCAAAACGCTACCAGAAGCTATGCAAAGTCTGCTGTCCATTTGCAACGGCTCACGTGGATACAGAAAAGCGAAGTATGTAATACAAAATCCAGAAGTCGCAGTCGTGCGACCTTCGCCCAGGACCAGAGCACCCCGGCTCTTACCAAGGCCTCCAACAACGTGGTGACGTCCGTCAAGAAGGCCCCTCTGACCAACTCCAACACAGTCCCCGGGGCCCCCAAAAGGGTGATTGTACAGGCCTCCACCAGCGAGCTACTGCGCTGTCTCAGAGTTTCTGTGCCGGCGCTGTTACAGGCTGAAGTACCTTTCCCCCACCGACCCAGTGCTGTGGCTGCGCAGCGTGGACTGCTCCCTGCTGCTCAAGGGGTGGCAGGACAAGGAGTTTATCACCCCTGCAAACGTGGTCGTCGTCTACATGCTGTGCCGGGACGTGGTCTCCTCCGAGGTGGCCACGGAGCACAAGCTGCAGGTCGTGCTCCTCACCTGCCTCTACCTGTCTTACTCCTACATGGGCAACGAGATCTCCTACCCTCTCAAGCCCTTCCTGGTGAAGAGCTCCAAGGAGATCTTCGGTTACCGCTGCCTTTCAATCATCAACCTGATGAGCGTGAAGATGCTCCAGATCAACTCCAACCCGCACTTCTTCAGGCAGGTGTTTGCCGACCTGAAGAACGAGAGCCAGAAGGAGGTGAAGCGGAGCCGTCTGCTCATCGGCCTGGACCGTTGAGGGGATGCTGTGGATAGCGGGGGCAGACGGGTCAACTAATCATCACCTAAATACAGGGCCGTGGGGTTTAAAAAGCAAGAGCACTCTTGGTGAAACCTTTGGTAATCTTGTAATTAATTGCACACGTGTTGTTTAAAATAATATTATTAAATTAAATACAAAAGTCTTTCATTCTTTTTTGAAGCATTGGCATTTCCATCAACCACCACTACCTTGTGTTGTTAATTATGGGGCGCCGTTTGTAAAATGTCGCACGTTCTAAAATCCTGTGCAGTTTTGCTACATTTAGCATTATCATATGCACAAAAAAGCATGACAATATTCATATGTCACTTTTTCAAACATTTAGAGAGAAATTCATGTAAATTAATGCAATGACTTTTCCAAGGATAAAGTTGTTAAATAATATAAATGTTAAATGTAAATCTAAATGTTAAATCTATATGTAAATTTTAAATGTCCTATCTTAATGTTTAATCTCAATGTTAAGTGTTAAATGTAAATTTGACAGTGAAGGGGGCACGGGCGCGGATGGTTCCGTGTCAGTGAACCCTCCCCCCCCCCCACATGACTTCAATGTGGACAGCGTATGGCCCCCTACCTAAAATGAGTTTGACACCCCTGCTCTATAACAAGAGCTCATTCATCCGGACTTGCCAGCTTGTCTTGCCGCGGCGTGAATTACCGTAAATATTGTAATGTTCAGTTGATATGTAGAGTGAATATTTAACATTTAGATCTACATTTAACATTTAGATCTACATTTAACATTTAGATCTACATTTAACATTTAGATTTAACATTTAGATATAACATTTAATATTTACATTTAACATTTATATTATTTAACAACTTTGTGTTACTACCAAACATTATCCTTGGAAATGTTATTGCACAAATTTACATTTTTTGTTCAAATGATAATGCTAAATGTAGCAAAACTGCGCAGGATTTTAGAACATGCGACATTTTACAAACAGCGCCCCATAGATAATATAATGTTCCTTTTTTAAACACAGTTGGTTGCAGGAGGCGTAGCAATACTATTCCAGACATTTAAATTCAGCAATTCTCTTCATCTATTAAAGACCAACCTGAGGTTGGCTTGCACGTGCTCTGTCACCGTCCCCTTCAGCTTTTAATTTACTCCTGTTGAATCAGATGTTGCCAAATACGAATCAAAAATAATAAAAGTCTTGTAGGATGCTTTGGTTAGGCAGGTTAGCAACACACACTAATAAAGCTTTCCAATGCCTCGCAGTGGCACCAGGTAGCCTTACAAAAACAACGATGACCAATCCAAAGCAAATGTCCCCATTAAAATTGTCTTAACGTGTGGCTACAGATGGAAACTCTGTTCTCCTAATAGTCCTGGAACAGAACGCAATGTCCTTTCCACTGTGAGGAAGGAGAGCACTTTGAGGAAGCTGAAAGGTACCTTGCAAGGAGATTCCACATTGGGTCTTGGAAGACCTAAAATGCAAATGTGTAATCGCTGGATGCTTTAACACCTGTGGCAATCATTTAATCCTTAGTGTGGCGAGACACTGTAAAGTGTCATTTGGCTCCCATTTCTAACAACCCCCCAAAGAAATTCCATTTTAAAATCCAGAAATCTGGTGGCTCACCACTTAGAGTAGAGTATAAGATACATTTTGTTTGTATTTTTTTTGTAATTTTGATTGATTGTACCTAGCCTGTGGTGCACAATTAAATGCATTAAAGAGGTACAGTCGGGTAGGTCTGGCTGTGTAAACAAATAACACACACACACACACACACACAAAGGGAGGGCTCCTTCATTCTCTGCTCAGGTAGTATTTTCTCCACAGTATATATAGCAAATAGTGCTGGTATTTTAAGGTTCTGACTTTTAAAAAGTGTACGCTTCAGCCCCGTCCCTACAGAATTGTCTATATCTGCTGCCATAAACATTACATTTCATGGGTGGGTAGGATTGAAAGTGGTGAGTGCTGCTTGGCTCGATGCAATGTTTTCCAGTGTGAAGAAAACATGTCTATTTATTAAGTCGCCACAAGAGCAGAATGTACCTTTGCTACAGGAGCCTGTTACGTCTGTCCTAACGTCTCTGTGGCTGTGTGAGTGTGTGTGTGTGTGTGTGTGTGTGTGTGTGTGTGTGTGTGTGTGTGTGTGTGTGTGCGAGCGTGTGTCTTTGCCGACTTGATGGCTTGCTGGCATTTGTGCTGTCATTGGGCTGCTTGGCTGGCGAGGTATGTTTTCACCAAAGCTTAGTTACACAAACATGAGCAATAGCATATTTGAATACGCAGAAGCTTTCAAATATTTAGTTTTCTTTAATTGAGTAGTTTCATGGGATATTTAGAGACCTACCAATTAATGAGGACAAGTCATAAAATAAGTCCTCTTTAGGTGTTGATATAATTGCTACAGATTCTCCCTGACTGTATATTTTCTTTCCCCTCTTCTAAACTCTTACTTCACTCATTCGAGTGTGAGAATAAAAAAAGAAATGTGCATGTGGGTCCATATGTGTTTGTGGGACATGGATAATGAAGTAATGCAAGAGCACTATAATTTGGTAAACCATGAGATTGCAGGGGTATCAGCGCGGCAGAGGAAATCTGATTTCACAGTCACCCCGTCTCCCCCTCCGTCACTTCAAGGGAGTAGTTAGTATGGAGGATAATAGCCCTTACCCACATCCCATAGCCATAACTCTGAGGTCAGTTTGGCTGTTTAAAATGAGTTCTCCGTGGGATGTCAGTGTGTGAGCTCTCTCATTTGACCAAGCCATACAAGGGGCAAAACGAGAACCGTTTGAACGTTTTCCACCACAGCCTTAGGATCAGTGCATTCAAGTAGTAAATAAATGTATCGTGAAAATCGAAATCACTCACTAGGTTTCTACATCATTATATTTAAGCTTATTAAATACATTAGGTCACTTGAGCGGTTTGCTTTATAGTTTGAGTTTAAGTTTATTTTAAGGGATGAAGTACTTCTTTTTTTTTTACAGTTGGTTTCTATCTACATCATTATTGCGAAGGCCAGGATTTAAGCCACACTAATCTTATACATCGTCTTTGCATTGATTAAGAAATAAAAGGACATTATTATATGGGTTTGGTTTAAGATATTTATTTGTCATTGTACTGAATCAATCTGAGGCTTAGTTATTTGGCGTAAGGTTAAAAAAAAGGTCCACCTTTTTGTTTTCATGATGCTGGCCACCTCTTATAAATTCAGTGTATTCTCATCTTGAGGGATGGTACCCTGGGAAAGGGGGTGTTGAATTTTGCCCTCTGTCAGTGTGAGAGGCTAAAGCACAAATATGTCCTTTTTTGTATACTGGATTTTTCCCATATGGTAACCTTTGTGGAAGAAAATGTTTGCATCTGTTTTTCCTCTCAATGAGGCTTGTCCAGGTTTTATCTTAAAAACTGTCACAATTGAAGAACACTTTGTTCCTCGTTTTGTGGCGATGGACTTAAGTTGTTGTTTTGCTAAGGCTCATGGCAGATCTATCACAATTATATTTAAGTTTAATACATTTGTTTAATTCATTAAAGAAGCTAAGAAGGACAACGTTCTTTACATGACCCTTCTCTCCAGCTTTCAAACTAGTTCAAAGCACTCGTCTTAGATGAGGAAAGGTGCTCTATGTCCCACTCGACCTATTCACTCTTTCTGCTGACTCCCCATCTCTAAAGAAAGACTTGTATGCCTTCCTTTTAGGTAGGGCAGATAATACTAATCTCGCAAATGTTAGTTTGAAAATCGATTATTCCTAAATAATACGTCTTTTTCATGTCTTTATTTTATTACTGGTAAAAAACTTTTTTGTCATCACAGAGACACTGTTATCTGAGGCAACCCCCCCCCCCCTGATTTTACACACCGTCATCAAACCCTGCCTGTTAGGCAGGGGGGGGTTGCGCTTAATAAAATGGGTTGCCCTCCCCATTTTACACAGCAACTATTTTATGTGACAGTATGACAACATTCTTATTTTAGGGAATTTTAACATATATGTCAGACTCTAGTCGAAGATTTTATGGCTACTTTGGAATCTTTTAACCTCTCGCATTACAAAAACCGACACATCCTTGATCTTGTCATGTATAATGGTCTCAGCAGTGAAAAATTCAAAATGAAACTCTTTTCAATCTAGAGGAGCTGGTCTCTCTTTTGAGGCACTGTCCTGGATAGAATACAATAGCCATGGCCAAATGAATCTACCAAAGAGCTCAAGAGAGACGGTAGAAGAAAGGAAAGATGGAATGAATAAACAGTTAGTTAACTGGGTGAGTGGGGAGCACGGTCCTTCTCCAATCAGGGTTGGCGGTTCGATCCCAGGCTAACCCGCATGTCAATGTGTCCTTGGGCCAGACACTTAACCCAACATTGCTACTGTAGCTGCGACTAGAGTGTGTGAACGTTAGTTATGGATGGGCAGTGTATGGCAGTTCCTGTCATCAGTGTCGGAATGGGTGAGTAATATCATATAGTATTAAAGCGCTTTGAGTGGTGGGAAGACTAGAAAAGCGCTATAAGTACCGTACTTTTACTATTTAAAGAATCAAGAACTTCCTTCTTTTCCAATTTGATTCTAGATAATCACTCAAGTTAGAATATTTGGAATTAATTGATTAATAAGGTAAATTCATGGATTATAAATAGCTTCTTAGCAACTTTCCGATCAATCTTTAAACATGCAATAGTTCAACTTCTTTCAAAAGAAACCTAAGCTTGATGCTTTCTGCTGTTTCCAATCTTAGGCCAATTTCAAAGCTTTTACCATTTTTATCAAAACTTCTAGAAAAAGTGGTTTTAACACAACTCTTAACTTGTATGAAGCCAAAGAACGTCTTTGAGGAATTTCAGTCAGGTTTTAGAGCACTTCATAGCACAGAACCGTTCCTCCTCAACGCATCTAATGATCTTCTATTACCAACAGACAGAGGGGAGAGTGAAGTTTTAATTCCTCTAGACTTAAGTATCGCTTTGACCCTCTAGAT